TACAGAAAATAAAATCTGACACATGTGCCCTCTAAAACTCAGATGATCACAACTGAGTAAAGCAGCTAGGAACACTTGTTGGCAAGTATTTACCTGCAAAAAAGCTTGGCATTGGCAATATTTCCAAATAATGTGAACTGATATTAACCTCTTTTTCAGAGTCTATAGTTTCCTAAATTACTAGATAGGCAGATAAATATAGTTACGTTTTGGCATAATATACAATAAAGTATCCCATGATCTCTCTGTGATCAAGATGAAACGATGTAAGAATAAGTTGAATTTATACCTGATTAAATAAAAAGTGTCTTGGGCTGGTGGAGTGGCTCAAGCGGTAGAGTGCCTGCCTGTCTAATAAGCATGAGGCCCTGAGTTGAAACTCCAATACCACCAAAAAAAAAAAAAATTTGAAAAGAAAAATAAAATAAAAAGTGTCTTTTTAAAAATCAGTTTTGTGGTACAATTAAACACATAAAACCATGTATCTTTAAGGTGTAAAATACCAAGTTTTCAGCCATGGAACTATAATCCTAACTACTCAAGAGGCAGAGATCAGGAGAATTGAAGTTCAAAGCCAGCTGGGGCAAATAATTCAAGAGACCCTGTCTTGCAAAACCTATCACAAAAATGGGCTGGCACAGAGGCTCAAGTGGTAGAGTACCTGCCTAGCAAGCATGAAGCCCTGAGTTCAAACCCCAGTACAGACAAAAAAAAGAAGAGAAAAAGAAAAAAAAAAAGCCATGTTTTAATATACGTATACATTGTGAAGTGTTCACTACAATCAAGCTAATTAACATATCTATGACATCTATAGAGTTACTCTGTGGGGGATGGGCAAAGATTTAAGATCTATTCTTAGGGCTTGGGGATGTAGTTCAGCAACAGCAGGTGCCTTTCTAGCAGGCCCAAGGTTCTGGATTTGATCCCAGCACTGCAAACAAAACAAAACAAAACAAAACAACAAAAACCTACTCTTAGTAAATTTTGCATATATAATAAGGTATTATTAATAATGTCACCATGCATTAGGTCTCCAGGATTCATCTTACATACCTGAAACTTTACAAAGCATCTTAATTCTTTGTGACCTACAGAAACGTGGATGTGTCATGCCTCAGTTCTGTCTGTCCATTTTAACATTTTTTATTAAAGGTTTCAAGGCCTGCACTGATAACCAACATAATTAACCAAACTAGAGAGTGACAAAGAGCTGGGAGGAATAATTTATACATTAGATACCAAATCAAAATCTAAAACTACTTTAACAATTCAGAATGACTCAGAACTGATAATTTAGTGAAACGAATAAATATAACATTAAATTTGGGGTCCAAAAAACAACTACACAGCAACAAAGGAAGGAAGATGTAGTTTAACAGCAACAAATCCAACACAGCAAAGAACTTAGAAATTCAGTTAACCATAAACTTGACATTAGCAATGTTACAAAAATCAATATACTCTTTATTCAGAATTTCTAGCTCAGGATGACAAACAGAACACCTTCTACTTCAAAAAGATACTACTGAGTTGTGAACAGTAGTATGCTGGCATGAGACCCTGAGTTCAAACTTCAGTACCACCAAAAGAAAAGTCATACTGAGTGTCCCTGAGAAGTTCCAAATTTCAAGTCACTACAAATCAATAAACATTACTGCCCTGTCCTAGAACTTTGCATATAACATTTTACTCAAGTCTCACAATTAGTTTATAAATAGGTATGCTATATGCCCATTTTGCAGATGAGGAACCAGAGGCTTGGACACATTATACAATCATGCAGCTAAAAAATGGTAATGCCAGGATTTGAATCCAGTTAGTAAGAATGCAATGTGTACTTTTATTTTTATTTTTTTACAAAACTGGGGTTTGATCTTGGGTCTTTGTGCTTGCAAAGCAGGTGCTCTACCATTTGAGCCATACCTCTAGTTCATTTTACTCAGGTCTCTCAAACTATTTGCCCAGGCTGGCCTCAAACCATGATCCTCCTGATGTCAGCCTCCCAAGCAGCTAGGATTACATGCATGAGCCACTGGTGCCCGGCCAGAGTGTGTATAGTTATTATATAAATGTAAGCCAAAAGGTAATCTGTCAAAGTTCAACCAGCACAGTCTACCTCAAGTAAACAGAGTAGCTTTCTTCTTTTATTATTTGATTATGCTTTAATAAATTCTATAAAATGTGTAGCCAGCCTAGAGAGTCTAAAGGGCCTGAAAGAGAAGGAAAGATGAATGAGTTAACTTCAGATCCCCACATAGGTACAGAAGAAGAAAAACTTTATAAACAAGGGCTGGGGATATAGCTCAGTGGTAGAGTACTTGCCAAGCATGTACAACGCCCTGGGTTCAGCCCCCAACACTGCAAAATAAAAAGAAAAATAAAAAGGAAAATCCACACTAAAGCATACCACCACCAGAAATGAGATTCCTTATTCTGGCAGTGTGAGATTTTTAGGCTGCCTACTCCAATCCTGTATTTCCTACAGTGAATTTTGTTTACAGATATACTATGCCCCCCCAACAAGAGTTCATAATCAATCCTCCTATTCAAAAATGCCTGTCTTATAAGTGGTCCCTACAGTGTGGTGATTAAGAGTGGACTCTGAAGCTGGAATGGACCCATAATCTGCCTAGGTCCAAATGTGGGTTCTTCTACTTAAAAGCTGTGCAACTCTGAGGATGTCACTTAATGTCTGCACTTCACTTTCCCCACTAAAAACAGGGAGGATCCCATAAAAGGTGTTATGAAGATTAAGTGAGATAATTTTCACCAAGAATAGTGAGAAGAAACTATAACGTGCATAGTGCTCAACAGAAAGCTGGCCCATGAGAACAAGCAAACATTGGCAGCTATCAGATCATAAACACAGAAGAAGAGGAGAGAAATTAGAAACTGCCCAAACTTGAAAGCCTATCAAATTCTTGAGAGAAAAATTAATTTCATCAAATAAGACAGAGATTCTAAAACAACAAAGTATTCACTAAAGCCGCATCAATACTTGGTTTAAATTCACCTCTTGAGCCTCTGAAGGCATTTAAGCTCTCTTGATTTACGACTACTAACTATAAGTTACCTTTCAATAATACAAATTAAATGTATGAACTGAATTTAGAAAATGAGAAAAGTTAACTCCTAAGCAACTTTGATTAATGGCAGGTAATAGATACAAAGAAGCTACTACTCCCTCACCAAAGTGCCAGACAAAGTCAGTTCTCTCAATCTAAATGTTCAAAAATAGAAACTTGCAATATACAAACAATTCTTGAGAAGGAACAAAATATAACAGCTTCAGGCCAACTGGATTCTCCAGAGAGACAGTGAAGCTGCAGGGAAAAGCCAACCAGCCTAGTCGGCAGTGAAAGCCAGGTTAAGACACGTGGGTCAGGAACACATTCCAGACCTAAGCTAAATGTTTGGATTAACTTTAGGGCCCATTCTCAAAACCTTATTTAGAGTTCTAAATTAACAATGATTTCCTCAGAAACAACTTGAAGACTTGAGAAGTTAAGCTCCTGGCCTGGAGGTCTTCTTGTCTAGAAGCAATGTGAACTTAAAAGCAAATACCCTGGGGTAGTAGCCAAGAAATTTTTTTTTTTTTTTGGTGCAAAAGGGCTTCACGCTTGTAAAGGTACTCTACTGCTTGAACCATACTGTACCATACCTCTAGTCAATTTTGCTCTGGTTTTTTTGGAAATGGGGGCATCATGAATTATTTGCCTGGGCTGGCTTCAAACCGTGATCCTCCCAATCTTAGCCTCCCAAGTAGTTAGGATTACAGGCATGAGCCACTGGTGCCCAACTCCAAGAAACCTTTGTAACATGAACAGATGACAAATGGACCTCACCAACCTCAAAGGAAGGTGACAGAAAAGAAATGAAACTTTGGGCATGCCAAACAGAACCAAATCTGAGCTACATGGCACAAGACTAAAAAACCAAAAACTACACATTTACATTATCCTTCTCACAAGGCTGGCAGAGACTAAAACAGAAGATTAGAACAGTGTGTGCAAAGCATTTCTACAGTCAAACATTTAAACTCCCAGTTCTATTCCTTTTCCTACATCATTTTTTCCTATTTTGCGTTCCCTGTGACTTTCCTTGTCATTTTCTTATCCTTTCTAATTGTGCCATTTCCATTTTACATAGAAAAAAAGTAAGGCCTTTATTATTCTTGTCGACAAATTGTATTTGTCGACAAATTCTATTTGTCGACAAGAATATTGCCTACTTGATGGAAGTATGGCTCAAGTAGTGAAGCACCTGCCTAGCAAGTACAGGCTCTGATTTCAAACCCCAGTACTGCAAAAAAAAAAAAAGTTGCCTACTTCTTTTCTCGTCCATACTCTCCTAGATATGTCAAAATATTATGCCTATATTAATAACAGAGGAACTATTAAAAACACTCATCAAGCTGGACGTGGTGGTTCAGTATTCAGGAGGCTAAGGCAGGAAGATTACAATTTCAAGGCCAGGCGAGCTTGGACTATGCAATGGAATCCTGCCTCAAAAACACCAAAAAAAAGCCAGACATGGTGGCACAGGCTTATAATCCTAGCACTAGGGAACTAGGGAAGATAAGGCAGGAGGATAGCCAGCCTGAGCTAGATAGGGAGACACTGTCTCAAAAAAATAGAAATAAAGAAAGAGGAAGAGGAGGAAGAGGCCACCAAGAAAGCAGGACATTAACTGAAGCTAGGACAGCGAGTGGAGAAAACAAAGAATGCCATAAATGATGAACATTATTTTTTCATCTAGAGTATATTTTTAAAATGTCACAGCCCTACTATGGTAACTACTTTAATTTACACTTTAAAGACATCAAGTTCACTTGAAAAATAAAACCAAAAGAAAAAAAATACCATAGAATTGCTTCCCCTTAGCTATCTTGTAAAACATGTAACTTATTAATATACAAGACACTTAAGCAAATGACTTCAAGAATCTGAAAGAAGAAAAGTCATGCATTTCATAAAAACCACAAAAAATATCCACATTACCAGTATCATTAGCAAGAGAACTAGGATCAGATCCTCCAAGGGTAGCTTCAAACTCCTCTTGGAGCCGATATGCTCTTTGCAGCAGAGCTTCAAGTTTATGGATGAATTCAGTGCTAATGATATCCTACGAAGACAGAAAAAGTACACACAGCAAGTATCAGATGTTATTAAAATTCTAAACATAGAAAATGTGTACTTTTTAAATAAAAACAAGGAAAGAGAAGGACATTAAAACAATTATTAGGCAGTAGAAAGAAGTTGTGAGGCTTGGGTTTTAGCCGTGTCTTTGACAAAATTATCTTCTTTCCTCAGGAATCAGTTTCTTTATCTGTAAAATTAAGAAGTTAGAACAGATCAGGGGTTCTCAAAGCAAAGTACCTCGACCAGCAGCATCATTACCAACTGGGAACTGTCCAGAAATGCAATTCTCATGAGCCACTCCAATCCTGCTGCATTAGAAACCCTGGATGTGGAGCCCCTAAATCTGTGTTTTAATAAGCACTCTAGGTGATCATGATGCATACTCAAGTTTGAGAGCTACTACTCTACCTAATGATCAGTAAAGACCACCCCAGTTCTACCTTTAAGTGATTTTTACGAACATAAGAATACAATTAAATCCAAAGCGCAAAAGAGACTTTTAAAAAATCTTCTGGAAATCATATTCCACAATTCTAGAAAAGTCAAGAAATTTGATGAATGGAAGCTAACTAAACCAAAAATACCAATAGGGAATATGTGAGGGTGGGGGAAAAGAAAAAAACAGTTCTTTTAAATGCCAAAGAAAGCAAGTAAACTGAGTCAGCATTAAAAACGGTTTAACTCTTCCAATATCATAAAGACCACTCCTCAATAAATCACTCACATCTACACTTTCTTCAGCAATGGCATCTCCTGCACCCAGTTTAACGGAACTGCAGGCTTCATCTTCAGCCTGCCTATTGCGAAAGGTTAGAGCTTGTTCCCATCGACGCAATGCCTCTTCAAACAACTCCATACCTAAAAATTAACAGTAGAATGATTATAATGTATAGTTATCACCAATATCATAGTCTAACTGTAATTCTGATACTAAAAAATGATTTCATGGGCTGCGGCTAAAGCTCAGGTGGTAGGGCGTCTGCCCAGCAAGTTCAAGACTCTGAGTTTGAACTCCAGTACTGCAAAAGAAATTTAATAATATGCACATATTATCTCACAGCAGGATCTTGATTTCCAATATATGGTAGGCCTACGGTTCTAGTGAACCAAAAATCAGACAGAAAATGACCAGTGTTTTTATGTTTTAAAGTAACGTAACTCAGGTTGGGCACCAGTGGCTCACACCTATAACCTTAGCTACTGAGGAGGCAGAGAGAGATTAGGAGGATCATAGTTTGAGGCCAGCCCAGGCAAAAAGCGACACCCTATTTCAAAAATACCCAGCACACAAAAAAAGGGACTGGCAGAGTGGCATAAGTGGTAGAGCGCCTGCCTAGCAAGCATGAGGCCCTGAGTTCAAACCCCAGTACTGCCAAAAAAAAAAATTAAATTAAATAATATAGTAACTTGGGCTGGAGGTGTGGCTTAAGTTGTAAAGCACCTGCCTAGCATGCACAAAGCCCTGAGTTTAAACATCAGTACTGCCAAATAAAAAAGTAAAATAATGTAACTCAAATATATGTGATGCTTAGAATTTTTCTAGAACATTATCATAAATTCATCAACTGTTCAACATTTTGACTAAGTTTTAGTCATACAACTATATTTCAAAATATTCCCCTAAGATATACCCAAAAGACTGTGACACAGGTTACTCCAGAGGCACCTGCACACCCATGTTTACTGCGGCACTATTCACAATAGCCAAGTTATGGAAACAGCCAAGATGCCCCACCACTGACATGGATTAAGAAAATGTGGTATCTACACACAATGGAATTTTATGCAGCCATGAAGAAGAACGAAATGCTATCATTTGCTGGTAAATGGATGGAATTGGAGAACATCATTCTGAGTGAGGTTAGCCTGGCACAAAAGACCAAAAATTGTATGTTCTCCTTCATATGTGGACATTAGATCAAGGGCAAACACAACAATGGGATTGGACTTTGAGCACATGATAAAGGCGAGAGCACACAAGGAAGGGGTGAGGATAGGTAAGACACCTAAAAAATTAGCTAGCATTTGTTGCCCTTAACGCAGAGAAACAAAAGCAGATACCTTAAAAGAAACTGAGGCCAATAGGAGAAGGGGACCAGGAACTAAAGAAAAGGTTAGATCAAAAAGAATTAACCTAGAAGGTAACACAAACGCACATGAAATTAATGTGAGTCAACTCTCTGTATAGCTATCCTTATCTAACTAGCAAAAACCCTTGTTCCTTCCTATTATTGCTTATACTCTCTCTTCAACAAAATTAGAGATAAGGGCAAAATAGTTTCTGCTGGGTATTGAGGGGATTGGGGGGGAGAGGGAGGGGGCGGAGTGGGTGGTAAGGGAGGGGGTGGGGGCAGGGGGGAGAAATGACCCAAGCCTTGTATGCACATATGAATAATAAAACAATAAAAAAATTCCCCTAAATTAGAAAGAATACTGATAGATTAACAAGAAAAATCTATAAGCAGCTATAGAGTTTATAAGTTCTCAGGAGGAAGCAGTAAACTGAGAGAAAAGATAACAGCATAGAAGTACAAAATGAAGTCTTTGTTAAAACTGCCCCCACCAAGAGTGTCATAAACTATTATCTCAATTTACTGATCTGAATTGATAAATGGTGTCCCACAGTTAAAAATGTACAAGAGAGTGAGTGACTCCATAAAGAGTTAAATACAGTCCAAGCGGGAATTTCTCAGCCCTGCTGAAAGCTCTTACAGGGAAAAAGGTGAGTATGTACAGCTTGTTCTCTAAGTAAAAACAAAATAATTATGCACTTCAGGAAAAAACAAAATATATTAAAACTTCAACTTTTCTGCACATATTAAAGGAAAAGACCTTTAAAATCTGTTAAAGAATCTAGGCAACTCATTCTGAAGATGTTTTAGGATCTGGTAGGGAAAGAATCCCTCTCCTCCAAAAGCACTTTTTCAATTAGCTGTAGAATGTAGAAAACTAAACAAACAAAATCTTCATATGCAATGCAGGCCTTTCCTTTTTTGATTTTCTGTAGCAAGGGACGTCCTTTTGATTTTCCTCCTAAAAAAAATGTTTGTACTTAAAAGAAAATTATACCTATTAAATTACATTTAAAAAATTGTATCTACCCTCCTTTCTAAATTCATTTCTTTTTCACACTTTCACTCTCTATCCATTTGATTATTTTGGCTGAAGACAAAAGAATTTTCTAGCAGCAGAGTTGTCTAAAGAGAAAGTACAGTGTCCGTCTTCCTACAGAACATAGCGGAGACTACCACTTATCATCAGTGTTGTAAGTTCAAGTCAAATGTCACTGATTTCTTTTAAATGTCATCAGTTTTAAAAACAGAATTGAAGCAATAGATAAGTAACCAGAGTAGGTCACTTATCAGAGCCATAGGGCTCCTACTCATCTGAATTCTATGATACAGAAACCTTCTGCAACTTCTCTAGTTTTACCTTTTCTTTAATTCAAACTCTGGGTGTTTCAAATACAAGCTGGGAGTACAGGTCTATTAGCTATAGCTACAGTAACCTCTAAGAATAGTAAGCTTAATTCTTTAAGAGACCTTTGGAGAAGATGGTACAAGAACTAATCTTCCTTTTTCCCACAGAAGTACTTCTATGGTACCACTGGGGGTGATGTAGCCTAGATATCCAGAGTGTGGGAATACATTCAGAAGTACACAGTCTTCTGCCAAATCCACCCCTTTACTGCTTGTTGGCCAGAGATAGAGCAAGAATTTTTGGTTTTATTTTATATTAGGTCTTCATTTCCTTTAAAGGAATGTAGCCCAATGCCTGTAATCCTAGCACTTGGGAGGCTGGGGCAAGAGGATCACCAATTTGAGGCTATCCTGAGCCACATAGCAAGTTCAAGGCAAGCCTGGGGGCTACACAGTGATATGGTGAGACCCTGTCTGAAAAAAAAAAAAAAAGAGAGAAAAGGAAAGGAAAAAAAAAAAAATCAACCAAACCAACAAAAGGAATGTAGCCTAAAACAGAGAAGAATGATGAATCCTCTGATTCAACATGAGGCTCAGGTTAGGCTTGGACTAAGAAGAACACTGTGTGTGAAACATGGGTTTTCTGTTTGATTTTTTTCTGCCTATTGGAAGAATGTATATGGTAGCTATATAAAATATTATTCAAAGTGGATTCTGACAGATTCATTAGCTGTTATGTAGATTGGATTCAACATATGTAAGAACATTTTAAAATTACAATTGCTAGGGCTGGAAGAAGGGCTCAAGCAGCAGAGCACCTACCTAGCAAGCATGAAGTCCTGAGTTCAAGTCCCAGGCTAAAAAAAAAAATTACAGTTGTTTCCCTTTGAATAATTCAGGAGGTTTCTTGTTGTTGTTGTTGTTGTTGTTGTTTTGTTTTTTGCATGCTGGGGATCAAATCCAGGGTCTTGTGCATACTAGGCAAGCATTCTTACCACTGAGCCATATCCCCAGTTCCAATTCACTGTTTTTTTCAGTTTCAAATTAAGTATGAGTACAGTGTCTTAAAACTTTGTAATGTTATTCCTACCCATTAAGTATAAGTTCTCAGGAGTGGTCACAGGAATATTGACAAGTTTAATATCATCTTCATCTGCTTTGTCCCATGAATTAGAATTGCCACAAGCACAGCCAGGACAAGAATTGACACTCTGGACCTAAAATTAAGATTGATAGAAGTTATTTCAAAATCTGTGTCAGACAGGATGTTGTAATGTTTCATATTTACCCATCATTTATATACTCCTATTTATATACATTACAATCCAAGTAATTCCTACCTGAAGAAATAATTCAGATTATCTTCAATATCAAACTTAGCTGTTTGCTCAAAAATACACAAGCTGAATGATATTTTGAACATAAAACCAGTTATTTCCATAGAAAAATCAGGCAGTTATTTTTATGTTTACTGTTTTAAGTAACTATTTATAAAATTTATCTATACCTACTATACTCTTTTAAGTTTTTAACAATGACAGCTCTCTGCTAAATGATAACTAGAAGTCATCATCATTGTATATGCCTTTCCCCAGCAAGGTGTACTGTGCCCATCATTTCAATCACATCCATAAAGATGATTCCCACACCCCTAATTCCAGTTGTTCTCTTGAGAAATCAAGACCTACATTTTCATATGCCTACTAGGTGACTCTGCTTGGCTTTTCCGCTGGCATCTCAAACTGCCTTATCATAAACAGAGTTAAGCATCTTCCCATGATAAAAAATTTTTCCTCCTCCCAGATCCATTAACAGTACTCCCATTCCCATAATTTCTCAAACTAAACACCAAAGATCCTCCAGATCTCTGCCTCCTGAGTAGCTAGGATTATAGGTGTGAGCCACCAGTGCCCAGCTTTCTTTTTTAAATAAGAAAGCATCTCATTATAATACCCAGCCAGCCTTGTACTCCTGGGCTCAAGGGAGTCTCCTGTCTCATCTCCAGAGCAGCTTAAACTGTAGGTGTGTGCCACTATGCTCAGCAAAATTATATTGATTTTTTTTTTTTTGAACTGGAAGTGTGGCTGAAGTGGTAGAGCACCTGCTTTACAAGCATGAAGCCATGAGTTCAAACCCCAGTATACATACATATACATACATACACAAGCACACACAGCTATAGGTGTGTAACACTTTTGAAACTAATATTCAAAAAGAGACATATAAACAAACATAAGAAAAATAATAATATATACTTTCTACTCACGGAGGCCAAACTCTGTGCTGAACCTGAGTATTTACTGAAAAGTCCTCCATTAGCATAGTTACAAGACTGAGATCCTTTGTCTTTGGTGGAACTTAAAGATAATGTCAAATTGTGTCTACTACTGGAACAACTTGAACCTATTAAATAAACATACAAGTATTAAAAGTATCAACAAATCAATGATAATTTTCAGGTAAAATTTCAAGTTATATATTACATTCATTCAGAAAGCTTCTAATTTTTAAAACATACAGCATTCAACTGTATAAATGACCAAATGTGAAACATGAAGTCCTAGGTTCAATTCCCCAGTACCAAACAAAACAAAACAAAGCAAAAAAAAGTCTGATGTTTTTTGCACTGCTAAAATCTCCTCTTTGAAATGAAGAGTAAAACATTCACCTAATTAATTGCAATGCTTTTGAATGGCCTATTATAATCAGTATAAAAATGTTAGCAACTATGGACCTTCAAAGTATAAATTTAATAAAATATAAGTATTTCCCCTCCTGAGTATACTTAAACCCCATCTACTTGCATTAGATTGTATTTAGTTTTCTGTGTTTCCATTCATCTTAACACATCAGATAAAACACTCTTGGTTTCAAACTCCAATACTTATAATCTGTATGACATTGGATAAGTCACTTAACATTCCGTATCTCTATTTTCCTTTCTTCCTTTCTTTTTTACCCTCCTTTCCTTCTTTTTTTTATTTTTTCCTTTTCTTTTTGGAAGTACTTGGGTTTATTCTCACAGCCTTGGGCTTATAGGCAGGTACTCTACCATTTGAGCTGTGCTCCCAGCCCTTTTAATTACTTTAGTTATTTTTTAGGCAGTGTCACATTCTACCTAGGGGGCTGGGCTAGCCTCAGACTGTGTCCTTCCTACCTATGCTGTCCCGAGTAGCTGGGATCACAAGGCATACCACCACACCAAGGTTATTGACTGAGATGCGGTCTCACTAACTTTTTGCTTGGGCTGGCCTGGAATCTGAATCCTCCCAATCTCTACCTCAGAAGCAGATGGGATTAAAGGCCTGAGCCATCTTGCCTGGCTACATTTCATTTCTTTTTTATGTATAAAATGGAAGAATAATGTAGAATTGTAGGCATAATTCCTAGGACTGCTGTAGAATTTAAATAAAATACTGAATATACAACACCTGATAAAATCTCAATAAATGACAGTGATCACTATTGCAATGCTCATTAAATTTGGCACAGTGACTTATTATGTGCTGGGCAAATCAATCACTAAAGCATAAAATTCACTAAATAATTAAAAACCAAGAAATGTAGCATGTGCAAGAAATTATTTTTATTGCTAAAATTTAGCAATAAATAGCATATATCTAACAAAAATTGCAAATCCTTTAAAAGCTAGCAATTGTTTTAGAATTTTAAATACTATGGAAATAGACAAATATACACAAAACAAGAGAAACACAAGCATCCTGAAAGGAGCAATTAAGTAAATCAGATTACATGTGTACAAATTTAACACTAATTATACATTTAAAATGATAGCATAAACATTTATTTATTGACCTGGAGAGATATTCATATATAAAAGCAAGCTATGAAATGTATGGTTAGATTTTTACTTTAAATATATAATTTACCTACATATAGTATAAAATTTTACATCTCAATTTTACAACACACCTGTGCCAGGTATGGTGGTACATGTCTATAATCCCAGTACTCAGGAGGCTAAGATAGGAAGATAGCAAGCTTGAGGCCAAACTGGGGCTACACAGGCTAGTGCTACATTTTCTCAAAAAGAGAAAAAAAAGAGAAAAGATATTTAAATAGAAATATAAATGGATAAATATACACCAAAGTATTATCAGCAGTTATTCCTGGATAGCAGAATTTCAAGTGATTTTAATCTTTTACGTTTATTTATCTATCTTAGCTAATCTTTCTCTAATGTTCTTTTTGTTGTTTTGAGATAGGATCTCCTTACGTAGCCCAAGCTGACCTCAAACTCAAGTCCCTCCTGCCTCAGCCTCCCCAGTGCATGGATTGCAGGTGTGTACCACCACGCTCAGCTTTAAATTTTTCTATTACTTTTGAGTTCAATAACAAGGAAAACAAATTGGAGGGCAAGGCATGATGGCTCACATCTGTAATTCCAGCTACTCTATAGGCAGAGACTGGGAGGATCACAATTTAAGGCCAACTCCAGCAAAAAGTTAGTAAGGTTCCCATCTCAACAAATAAGCTGGGCATGGTAGTACACACCTGTTAGCCCAGGAATGCAGAAGGTGTAGGTAGAAGGATCACAGGCCAAGGCCAGCCCTGAACCAAAAAACAAAAAAAATCTTGAAACCCTGTCTGAAAAACAACAAAAGCAAAAAAGGGCTGGGGAATGGCTCAAGTGACAGAGTACCTGCCTAGTGTGACACCCCACCCCAAATCTGGAGAATAAATCACTGTACTCAAGCTGTAACTGACACATAGGATTTCTTTTCTAGACTTAATTCAGCTATTTCCACATACCTTTGTCTGACGCTGCCCTTTTAGTATATTCAAGTATTAGGTGCTCTGGTTCCCATGGCAATATTTTTCCTTTCTTCTTTCCACGTTTTCTTTTAAAGTGATGAGCCAGAAAAATTACAGATATAGCACTCACAGCAGTAACCACAAACAACTTCTTAACTATTGGTGAAAACTTGATCTGGAAAAGATGTAGTTAGTTTGAAAAAAAAAAAAAATCTTATTTGTTCACTATAAACAGAGACATAAGAACTAAACTTATTCTGAATCTAACTTGTTTCTAAATATTATGAAGAGACTGTAATTTTACTCATTCAATGACAGTTAACCCATTTGGTTTTTTAAAAGATTTTTAATGTGTTCGGCACAGTGGCTCACACCTGTAATCCTAGCTACTCAGGAGGTAGAGATCAAGAGGACTGAGGTTTGAGGCCAGCCCAGGCAAAAAGTTAGCAAGACCCCATCTCAACCAATAAACAGCTGGGCATGGTGATTTCAGGCCTGTCACCCCAGCTACAGAGGGAGGCATAAATAGGGACATTGTAGTCCAGGCTGCATGCACATAAAAGAGAGACCATATGTGAAAAATAACTAAAGCAAAAAGGGCTAACAGCCTGGCTCAAGTGGTAGAGTGCCTGCCTAGCAAGCACAACTTCCTAAGTTCAAAACCCTGTACTGTCAAAAAAAAACTTTTTAATGTAATAATTTATGACTCACTGTATTCAAAAATCAATGGGAGCTGGTGTCAGTGGCTCATGCCTATAATCCTAGCTACTCAGGAGGCAGAGATCAGGAGAATCAAGGCTCAAGACCAGCCCAGGCAAATAGTTTGTGAGACCCTTTTCGAAAAAAACCCTTCACAAGAAAGGTGTGGTGGAGTGGTTTAAAGTGTGGGCCCTGAGTTCGAATCCCAGTATCACAAAAAGAATTTAAAAAGTCAACAAGAAAAAAAAGTCAATGGGACCACAAAAGAATTCAACCCCATGAAGATTGTTGAGCAAGTAATTATTTCATGCAACTGAATCTACTGTCTGAATCATAGCAATATTTTTAGCTATAAGAATGACCATTTAATTTATATTTTGCAGGGCTAGGGATGGAATGCAGGGTCTCATGCAAGTAGGCAAGTGCTCTACCATTAAGCCACAACCCCAGCCTGTAACTATAGGAATGATCAAATCAGACTTTTAAACTGAGCCCTTTTTTTTTTTTAACTATCTAGGAATGTGAAAAAACAGAAGCTAACTCAACTTCTAAATACCATATAAACAAACCATTTTACTCATGAATTATTCAACAACTATTTCTGAGAATCTTACAAATTAGGTACAGTAGGGTATGACTGTAATTTCAGCACTTAGGATGCTAAGGCAGAAGGATCAAGAGTTTGAGGTGAGCTACATAGTTTCAAAACAAAAATGAAAAAAAGAATCTTAAAAACTACCAAGACTAGGCTAGAGGTGTGGTTCAGTATTAGAAAGCCTGCCTAGCAAAACAGTTTCTGCCTGGTAGAGAGGAGTTGGGGAGGTAAGGGAGAGGGCGGGGGGAAGGGGGGAGAAATGACCCAAACATGAATTAAATAAATAAATAAATAAATAAATAAATAATAAAAGAAAGCCTGCCTGGCCAAGGAGAAGAAATAAAAGGAATACAAACAGGTAAAGAAACTGTCAAAACATTTCTATTTGCAGACGACATAATCCTTTACCTCAAAGACCCTAAAAACTACCCAAAAACTCCTAGACACCATAAACAGCTTCAGCAAGGTAGCAGGATACAAAATCAACTTACAAAAATCATTAGCTTTTCTATACACCAACAATGAACAAATTGAGAAAGAATATATGAAAATAATTCTAATCACAACAGCCTCAAAAAAAAAAATCAAATACCTAGGAGTAAACTTAACAAAGGATGTGAATGACCTCTACAAGGAGAACAACAAACCTCTGAAAAAACAGATAGAGGAAGACTACAGAAGGTAGAAAGATCTTCTGTGCTCATGGACTGGTAGAATCAACACAGTACAAATGGCTATACTACAAAAGCAATCTACATGTTCAACGCAATTTCCATCAAAATCGCAATGACATTCGTCACAGAGATTGAAAAATCTACCCTAAATTTCATTTGGAAACACAAGAGACTGCGACTAGCCAAGGCAATACTCAGTAAAAAGAGCAATGCTGGAGGTATCACAATACCCAACTTCAAACTATACTACAGAGAAAAAGCAGAAAAACAGCATGGTACTGGCACAAAAACAGATATGAAGACCAGTGGAACAGAACAGAGGACCTGGGTATGAATCCACACAGCTATGCCCACCTTATTTTTGACAAAGGCATCAAAAACAATAGCCTCTTCAACAAATGTTTCTGGGAAAAGTGGTTATCTGCCTGCAGAAAACTGAAACAGATCCATGTTTATCGCCCTGTACTAATACCAACTCAAAATGGATCAAGGAACCTTCCTATCAGACCCAAAACTCTGAAGCTAGTACAGAAAAGAGAGGAAACACTCTGGAAGCAAAAGGTATAGGCAAGGACTTCCTCAATAGAACCCCAGCAGCTCAGGAACTAAGAGAAAGGATGGACAAATGGGACTACATGAAATTAAAAAGCTTCTGCACAACAAAAGAAATGCTCTCTTAACTGAAGAGACCACCTACAGTGTGGGAAAAAATATTTGTTAGCTATACAACAAACAGACAAAGGACTGATAATCAGAATATACAAGGAGCTCAAAAAACTAAACCTCCCCCAAATCAATGAACCAATAAAGAAATGGACAACTGAACTAAACAAAACTTTTTCAAAAGAAGAAATCCAGAGGATTCCAAGATGGTGGCTAGAGGGAGGAAACAGAAAGCGAACCTCCTATAGTGAAATCTTGGAGAGACACCAGAGACACACTTTGCAGGCAAAATCACTGAGAAGAGGTTAGATCAAAAAGAATTAACCTAGAAGGTAACACACACGCACAGGAAATCAATGTGAGTCAACTCCCTATATAGCTATCCTCATCTCAACTAGCAAAAACCCTTGTTCCTTCCAATTATGGCTTATACTCTCTCTACAACAAAATTAGAAATAAGGGCAAAATAGTTTCTGCTGGGTATCGAGTGGGTGGGGGGGAGAGGGAGGGGGCAGAGTGGGTGGTAAGGGAGGAGGTGGGGGCAGGGGGAGAAATGACCCAAGCATTGTATGCACATATGAATAATAAAAAAATAAAAAATTTAAAAAAAATTTTTTTAAATAAAAATAAAATAATAATACCTCTACCAAAAAAAAAAGAAAATGTGGTATTTATACACAATGGAATTTTCCTCAGCCACGAAGAATGAAATCCTGTCATTCGCAAATAAATGGATGGAACTGGAGAACATCATCTTAAGATAAGTTAGCCAGGTTCAAAAGGCCAAAAATCGTATTTTCTCTCTCATATGCAGACTTTAAACCTAAAACAAATGCAGTAATATTATTGGACATGGGTCACACACTAAAAGGAGAACACATAAATGAGGAATAGGGAAAGGTAGGAAACCCAAAACTTGAAAGTGTTTGATGTGTCCACTGTAGAAGAGTTAATATAGTATCCTTAAAATGACAGAGGTCACTATGGGAAGGTGACTGGGAAGTAGTGAAGAGGTCTGCTAGAGATGAATCAATTCGGGTTGTAATACACATGTGCATGGAAGCAATGCTAGGAATCTCTCAGTATAGCTATCCTATGTCAAACTAGAAAAAAAGCTATGTCTTATTATTGCTTATGTCTTCTCTTCAAAAAAATTGGAGAAGAGGACAGAATAGGTTCTGCTAAAAGTGAAGGGAGTGGGGGAGGGGGTGGAGGAGGGGATGGGGGAGGAGTGGGGGAGAAATGGCCCAAACAATGTATGCACATATGAATAAAAAAAAAAGCCTGCCTAGCAAGTGCAAAGCCCTGAGTTCAAACCCCAGTACAGCCATAAAATAAACAAAAAAGTATTAAGACTGCACTATGAATTAAAATCTTATTGTAATTCTATTCAAGAACTGTATGTTGAGTACCCACCACTGGTCATGAAATGACAGTGTACAGAAGGCAAAGATGTTGCTTCCCTCAAGCAGTGTGAGAACTAATAGTAGACACAGATAAACTGGTGAATAATTACAACATAGCATGATACACACAGTTATACAAGGACTATGTACTAACGTGAGAGCAAGAAGAAATTAACTTTCTCTTGGGGGACAGATACTGCAGAAAAACTGTAGCGTTAACAGAGTGCAATATATAGTGCTGTAAAAAGTTACTGCTGAGGGCTGGAGGTACGGCTCAAGTGGTAGAGCTTCTGATTTGCAAGCAGGAAGCCCTGAATTCAAACCCCAGTTCCGCCAATAAGAGTCACTGCCAAACTTTCATCCAGACAAATGGCAAGTTCTCAACTTTTCTTGTACCCATATATCTAAACAAAGTATTAAGAAAGATACAGTAGAGCTGCAGTTTACTCGAGACCAAATGCACCTAATGGACATATACAGAATGCTGCACCCCACACCTGGAGAACACACACTCCCGTCAGCACATGGCAGCTCATGCATGGGCATCAAACAAGTCTCAACACACTTTAAAACTGAGATCATACTAAGTGTCTTTTCTGACTACAGTGCAATAGAACTAGCAATCAATCACAAGGAAAACTGGAAAACACAAGTACATGGATATTAGACACCTTACTCCTGAATAACCAATGGATGAAGAAATCAAGAAGAGGGCTGGCACAACGGCTCACATGGTAGAGTGCCTGCCTAGCAAGTGTGGGCCCTGAGTTCAAACCCCAGTGCTGTCAAAAAAAAAAAAAAAAACAGAAATCAAGAAGGCTTGAAAATTTCTTGAAACAAATAAAAATAGAGTCACATACACACAGAGCCTCAGCAGTGCTGATGGGAATGTCAGTAATAGACGCCCATATCAAAAAACAAAACAAAACAGAATGATCTCAGAAAAACAATCCTTTGCCACATCTCAAGGAACTAGAAAAGGAAGAACCAAGCCCAAAATCAGAAGGAAAGAAGTAATAAAGATCAGAACAGAAATAAGTGAATTAGAGACTAAAAAAGCAATGTTAAAGATCAATGGAATGATGAAGAGCTGGTTCTTTGAAAAGATAAAATTTATAAACCCTTAGTTGGTCTAAAAAGGAGACTGAAGATTTGTGTTAGCCAAGCTTTCCATTACTGTAAAAAAATAAAAAAATAAAATAAAACAACCTAAGACAAACAACATATAAGCAAAAAAAAGACTCAGTTTCTCAGTTGGCCCAGTTGCTTTGGGTCAGGAGCACGTCATGGAACAACACAACACATGGTGAAGTAAAACCACTTCGGGGTTAGGAAATGAGAGGGAGAAGGGGGCTAGGATCCCACAATCTACTCAAGGGCATGGCCCCAATAACCTAAACACCACACATGAAGCCCCACCTCCTAAAGCTCCACCACCTTCCAATAGTGCCATGAGAGGGCTAGGTGCTATGAAATGTGGCTTTTGCCACATGAGCCTTTGAAACACTTACCAAACTATAGCAAGACTCAGCGATAAAAGGGACACATTATAATCAACATCCCAGAAATCAAAAGATTAGAGATTATTATGTATAATTACACACCAATAAATTTGATAAAGTAGAAGAAAATGGACAGAAGCCAGGCATGACAGTGTATACTTATACTCCTGGAACTTGAGGGGCAGTGACAGGAGGATCATGAGGTCAAGGCCTCAAAAAGCCAGAAAAAGAAAAAGAGAAAAAAAAAAGTCAACAAATTCCATATACTTTATCAAGGTTGAATTATGAAGAAATAGAAAACCTGAACAGACCAATAACATATAAGAAGATTTTATTACTAATAAAAAGTCTCCCAAGGCCAACAAAACCAGAAAAAGGTAAACAACAGCAAAAAAAACTACAGGCCAGTATCCTTGATGAACACAGATGCAAAAATCCTCAACAAAATACAAGCAAACCTAATCCAACAGCTCATTAAAAAATTATTCAGACGCAGGTACAGATGTGGTTCAGTGGTAGAGCATTTGCTGAAAACACTGAACAATGTTTTGAAGAAATATACCTTAACATTATAAAAGCCATATACGATAAGCCAACAGCTAACAATATACTGAGAGGGAAAAAGCTGAAAGCTTTCTAAGATCTGGAACAAGACAAGATGCCCACTTTTAAACTTTTGTTAAATGTGGTAGTGGACATCCCAAGCAGGGCAATCAGACAAGAAGAAATAAAGATTATCTAGCTGAGAGTGATGTCACACACCTGTAATCCCAGCACTCAGAAGGTTGAGGCAGGAGGATTGCAAGTTCAAGGACCGCTTAGGCTACATGGCGCATTCCAGCCAGCCTAAGCTACATAATGAGACTGTGTCTCAAATAAACAGAAACAAGAATTTGTATGGAACGACAAAAAAATCCCAACTAGCCAAAGCCACCTCAAGTAAAAGGAACAAAGCAAGAGACATTACACTATCTAACTTCAAATTATACTATACAGCTATAGTAATCAGAACAGCAAGGTACTGACACATAGCAGACACAAAGACCCATGGCACAGAACAGACAACTGAGATAAACCTACCTATTTCATCCAACTGATTTTTTTTTTTTTTGGTGGCACTGGGGTTTGAAATCAGGGTTTCACACTTCCTAGGCAGATGCTCTACCATTTGAGCCACTCTGCCAACCCTTTTTTGCTTTAGTTTATTTTTCAGATAGGATCTCATGTTTTTGATGGGGCCACCCTCAGACTGAGACCCTCCTACCTCAACCTCACATGTAGCCAGCTTTTTTTCTGGTAGGATTGGGGTTTGAACTCAGGGCTTCACACTTGCAAAGCAGGTGCTCGACCTTTTGAGCCACACCTCCAGACCATTTTGCTTTGGTTATTTTGGAGATAGAGTCTCATGAACTATTTGCCTGGGCTGGCCTCTAACCTTGATCCTCTTGATCTCAGCCTCTCAAGTAGCTAGGATTTCAGGCATAAGCCAGCATGCCCAGTCTGAGTTTTGAAAGCTGAGTTTTGAAGCCAGCAGAGTTTTGAAAAATGTGCTAAGAATACATATTGGGGAATGTTGTCTTTTCAATAAACAGTTCTAGGAAAATTGGATATCCACATGCAAAAGAATGAAACTAAACCTCTCTCATCAATTACAGAAATCAGTAGATTAGATTATGAAACAACTAGAAAAAATATAAATGAAATGCTTCAAGACATTGGGATGAGCAAGAGTTTTTGGGACAAGACCACAAAAGCACAGAACAAAAATAAAATAGACAAATGAGATCACATCAAACTAAAAGGCTTCTGCATGGTAAAGGAAACAATCATTAGAGGGAAAAGACAACCTACAAAATGGGAGAAAATATCTGCACAATATACATATAATGAGGGCTCAATGTCTAGAGCACAAAGAACTCAACCTTAAAGAATTCAATTAAAAATGGCCAACAGGGAGCTGCAGGTGTAACTCAGTGGCAGAGTACATGCTTAACATGGGTGAGGCCCTGAGTTCAATTCTCAGTACCAGAAGAAAAAGGAAAAGACAACAGCTGGAGTGATGCCGCACACCTATAAAACCAGCACTTAGGAGGTAGAGGCAGGAGGACTGTGAGTTCAAGGCCAGTCTTGAACTACACAGGCTACACAGACCCTTCTCAAAAAAAAGAAAAAGAAAAACACAACAGACCTAACTAGATATTTCTCTAAAGACATACAAATGGCCAACAGCATATGAATCATCAGGGCATTGAAAATCAAAACCACAACCAGAAGGTGGGGGTGCAGCTTAGTACAAGAGCACTTACCTACTATATGTGAGGCCCTGGGCTCAATCCCTACTACCAGGAAAACAAACAAATAAACAAAATGACAACCACAAATCATCTCACTCTAGGAAGAATGGCTATTATCAAAAAGACAAAAGCTAACAAATGCTGGCAAGGATGTGGAGGAAAGGAAACTCCCAAACACTATTTGTAGGAATAAAATAGTACATCCATCATGGAAATCAGTATGGAGGGTCCTTCAAAAAAATAAAAATAGAACTATCATATGATCTAGCAATCCCACGACTGGATATGTATCCAAAGCAAATAAAACCAGTTTGTTGAAGAGACAGCTATGTTCTTATTGGGTCGGGATCAGAAAACAAAAATGAGCAGGTGCCCTCATCCCCCATGACAACACTGTGAGCCCTACATCCTGTAAAGGGACATGTGGTTTCACAAGTTATGGCCCCTTGGGGAATGCCTCAAAAATGCCACAAGGCTGATAAACAGGAGGCTTTCACAGGACTGTGTGTGTGTTCCTGCAGAGATATGTTAAAAGGCCACTCCACCCCTGGCTCCTGACTCCCCTCCCCAACAAAAAGGACCAAAGAAAAAACCCCTCTATGTAAACAACAGAGAGCTACCGATTTTCTGGGCTCCTTGTCCATCTCTAGGGGCAGCTTTTCCTTTCTCTCTAAAAAATCGTACTTTATGTGCTGACCTTGTGGTCTCACAAGTCGATCCACTGCCTCACGAGCCAATTCTTTGGCCCGTGGAGGCAAGAACTCTTGACACCGGCCAGCAACACTCTCATATTTACTGCAGCACTATTCACAATGGCCAGGAGGCAGAAACAAGCTAAGTGTTAAAGAAACTGTGGTACATATATATACAATGGAATCAACAGGTAAATACATAAGCAAAATGTGGTATATGCATACAATGTATTATTAATTCTAACTTAAAAGGAAAAGAAATTCTGACTTGTGCTACAAATTGAATGAGCCTTGAGGACATTAAGCTAAGTAAAATAAGCCAATCACAAGAAGATAGTCTGTATTATCCCACTTGAGAGGTACCTAGTCAAATTCACACAGACAGAAAGTAGAATGGTGCTTGCTGGGAGCTGAAGGGGAATTGTTAAAAATGATTATAGAGTTTGAGTTTTACAAGATGAAAAAAATGCTAGAGATTGGTTTTACAGCAATCTGAATGCATTTAATGCACCTGAACTGTACACTTAAAATGGTCAATTTTATGTCACTCATATTTTTACCACAATAAGGATTACAATAGTGAGAATGAGTGTTTTGAAATAATATGATTCACTGAAAATAATTGTAATGTACCAAGGCTAGTAGAGAGGCTCAAGTGGTAGAGCATCTGCCTTGCAAGCATGAGGATCTAAGTTCAAACCCCAGTTTGAACTGGGGTTCAAAAAAATAAATTTTAAAGTAATGCAAGTCCCTTTTAAGAATTATAACAAAAACAAATTATAAATATAACCAAAAACCCAGCATGAAACAATTAAAAAAAAAAAGTAGGTTTTAAACTACTTTAATAAAGATTGTACTATATAAAAACCTTGGAGGTTGGGAGTGTAGCTCAGGAGTAGAGCACCTGCTCAGCGTGAGCTGGGTTCAATCTCCAGGATTACAAAAATAAAACAAAATACCCTCAATTGAAACTAAAATACTGGAAACAAAATATGCACTAAACAGTAAAATTATTATTCGAGTTGATGCTACTTTTGTTTACCTGGGAGAGGGAATAGTACCAAGACAGAGGAAGATCAAATATTCGCAGTGCTGCCACCTTCAAGGGAAACTGTGATTGGTTTCCTGTGTCTTCTGACATGACTCTTCCAATCTCCACTAAAGGAAACATAGAAACTTACTAGTAACAGACATTTCTGATTACTTTACCAATGAAAATTAAACTCTACAAGACTCCAGTAGACTATTCCCTTCTGTTAACATTGGCTGGTTTTTTTTTTTAAGAAAAGTGTCAAAACCACAGATTAAGTTGTGGTTTACTTTAAATCAAAGACATCACTCCTCCTGGTGTGGGTTACTACTACTGTCACTGATCTTAGTCCTTACCAGTGATATTACAGTGTAAACTTTATAAACTTAATTCTCCCATCTTCTAATTAGAACTTTTAGGCAGGTGCTCTACCACTTGAGCCACTCCACCAGCCCTAGAACTTTTACTATCATGTTCTAATCAAATATTTTTCCAACCAACCATACTGAGAAATACAGAGGAAATCATGAAGAAACCCTTAGGCTAGTGAAAAATGTCCCTGAGGAGAATAAGTGGTGTAGGAGGTTTTTCTGTAATATTAAATAATTTTTTAAAACTGCCTATACATAATTACTTTTTTTAAAATACTGCAGCAAAAAGAGTGGGGAAAGCACATTTATTCTTCTCCTTCCCTAAAAATTAACAACTTTTTTTTTTTTACTAATTAAACATTCTAGGTCCTTAAAGCAATTTATGTTTGTGACAGCAAAAGAAGAAATACTGAAACTAGGTCACCCAAATAGTTTCTCATTATGGCATTCCAAAATCTTAAGCAGATGAGAAACAAAAACGTGAATTTACTGCAGTAGTTGGCTTAAACAATTTTGACAAATCTCTCCTTTTGCATTCTAGATACCTCATTCTTTCACTAAAAAAAAAAAAAACAAAAACAAAAAACCCACTGAGCAAGCTGATTCCAAACTTGACCGTTATTGACAGAGTAACTTTTAAAAACTAGGGACTTCAGATGCCTACTGAAATAATATGACAGCAGCTTTATGATTGTTGGAATTTATAAAACAGGTCTAAAATATCACCAAAAACTCTGTACTGTGTAGTATTATACCATTGTGTTCATTCCAAGCCCTGGAGAGTTAAAAGTGTCATAAACAAAGAGTTTGCATTTTAAACACCTTAAAATTCCATTCCACAATTTTGCCTTTGTAACCCAAGCAAGAAAGTCAATCCGAATACCAAGAAAATATAACGTGAAGCACAAACCTAACCCACCTAACTCTGAGAAGCTATTTTAAATGCTGCGAAAATGCTTAGTTACAGTAACAAATGATTAAGATGGTGGTGATGGTGATGATGATGATTCCAAGGATCCGAGCACGAACTAGACCGCTAGGATCCTCCCAACAGAGCAAGTTTAACACTTCTAACCAGGGAGGGGACCCCACGCCACCTCCTCCCGGCGCGAAGGCTCCTCTGAAATCGCCTTCCTCAGCGTCATTCTCCACACCCCGAGCCCGCGCCCCGCTCTAAAGCACCGGCATCCGAGCGAGCGAGCGAGCGAGCGGAACCTGCGGCGCTCTCCCGGGCTTTTCTTCACTCGGAGACCCCACCGGGCGCCCTCCCCGCCGGGCTCCGCGCTCCCCGGCGCGCCTCCCTCGGGTGGGGCCGCCCGCTCTCCGGAACGCCACCGGGACCCGGGGTCCACACCCGAAAACGGCGTCCCGCCAAGCCCCCTCTGAGCTGCGGCTCCCCCGCAGCCCTATACCTGGCACCCGAGGCCAGGCGCAGCCTACCCACGCCCGTTTCCCACCGCAGCCCGGGCGCACCGGCAGCAGGGCTGCTGGAGGCGGAGTCCTTCCGGGGTCAGGAGGGAAGGTGGAGGGGGATTGGAGGGGACCGCAGGCCTCCCTACGTGGGGGCTACGTGTGAAGCCGCTTCATCCATTTTTGTTGTGGTAAGCGGCTCTGCAGCATCCTTTTACAAACCTATCAATAGCTAGCTAGTATCGCACTTGGTAAGCTTTTAGTGGATCCAGGAGCGTTCTGCTAACTGAAAACTACGCAGCCTTTCCCAAGAAAAATGCACATAGACATGCTCATTACTCGTACATTATTAAAAGAATAAGAGGCTGTCCACGTACCTCAAATGGTAGAGCGCTTGCCTAGCAACAGTGAGGATCTGCGTTCAATCCGCAGTTCTGCACACACACACAAAAAGATATATGTGTGTGTGTTGTAATATGCGTGCATGTACATATACACGCATACAATTTCAAACCCCAGAAACCAGTCATGGATCCCAAATTAAGAACTTCTGGGCTGGGGAGTAGCTCAATGGTAGAATGTATGGCCTGAATACAATCCCCAGGACCAACAAATGAACTTCTACCATAGACCTTCAGTCCTCCAACAAATGAGGTTAGCATGCATGACATACCTGTGTAAATGATGCATTTAGTTTTTCTCTACATTTCCCTCTGAATTAGGCCACCAAAGAATAGTGACAATGGCTAATTATGAGGGCTCAGACAGAGTAGTCATTGCTTTGGGGAGCGGGGTAGGAAAAAGAAACAAAAAACAATCGAAGTAAGTTAGACACACAGACATACATGCACATACATCATGTGTACATATATATGTATCTATGAAAATAACATAATGAAACCTACCAAATACTGTTTGGGGGTGAAGGAAGAAGGGGTTAAGGGAATATAATAGAAGGGGTGAACTTGTTCTAAGTACACTATACACATCTATGAAAGTATCACAATTAACCTCCCTTAGTACTAATGCTGTTTCTATATGCAGTCCTGAACCAAAATATTCCATCAGAACCTCAGACTTAAGAATTACAGTTGATGATTAGAGATGTGACTCAGGAGTAGAGTGCTGCTTTGCAAGCAGGAAGCCCTCAGTTAAATCCCAGTCCAAACAACAACAACAAAAAGAATTATAGTTGATGAGCATATTTGTAGTGAAAAGTCAAAATAATTTTATAAGGATATCTAAAAAGGAGAATGATGGAGGGTTGAATTAAACTATGATGTATCGTAAGAACTTTGGTAAACATCACAATGTACCCCCAATACAACAATAATTTTTTTAACTATAAAAGAAAAAAAAGAAATTAAAAAGGATATTTAAAGCATGAGAGCAAATGTTACTATTCCTACCAAAGGAACAAGAATGACCAATCCTTTCTGTTTTCAAAATCCCTATTTAGCCAAATGGAAAATAGGGAGAATGACAATACCAAAGTGATGTTATTAGGTGAACAATAGCATAAAATGGACAGAATGAGTTGTATATGAAAATGTTTTGCACTTATGAGATAATGGAGTGCTTGAGAATTGAAGAACATGGAATCTATAGAGTTTTGTTTTGTTTTTTGTGGTGGTACTGGGGTTTAAAACTCAGGGTCTCACACTTGCTAGGCAGGTGCTCTACCATTTCAGCCACTCTGCCACCCTTTTTTTGTGAGTTGAGTTTTTTCAGTACAGGGTCTTGAGAACTATTTGCTGGGGCTGGCTTTGAAACACAATTCTCCTGTTTTCTACCTCCTGAGTAAGTAGGATTACAAGCTTGAGCCACCAGCACCTGGCTTGTAAGGCCATTTTTACTTCCTCAATCTCTTCTTTTCTGCCTCTTCCCTACTTAAACCCTTTTTTTTTCTTCATCTATTTAAAGTGTTTCTAGGCTGGACTGGCAGAGTGACGCAAGTGGTTGAGCACCTGCCTAGCAGGCCCTGAGTTCAAACCCCAGTTCTGCCAATAAAATAAAATAAAATAAAGCCAGACCTAAAGTGTTTCTAGACCAACACAGGCATCTAGAACTCAGAGTATGGTTCTAGATCCTGAACATTTCTTCAAAGTACAGTTGTCCATACAAACATCCAAATTGTGAAGATTCAGTTCCTCAAAATGTTAAACTTAGAGTTATTATATGACCTAGGAGTATTTCCTAGGAAATACCAAACAGAAATGAAGCATACATCCACAGAATAACTTATAACTGAATATGCATAGCAGCATTATTCTTAATAGCCCAAAAGTGGAGACAACCCAAATGTCCAACAACTGGTGGATGAATAAGTAAAATGTGTTATATCTTATTGTAAAATGTTATTTTTTCATAGAAAAGAATTGTGTAACGGTAAATGCTTTAACGGGGCAAGTCTTGAGAATATTATCTTAAGTATATAAAAAAATCACATACTGAGTTGGCACGGTGACTTAAGCTTCAAATCCTAGATACTTGGGAAGCAGAGATCAGGAGGATCCCAGTTCCAGTGGCCGCTGCAGGCCAACGCTGAGCAAAAAGTCCTTGAGACCTCATCTCAACATGCTTGTCATCCCAGCTACACAGGGAGCATAAATAGGAGGATGACAGTCCAGGCTGGCCTGGGCATAAAGGGAGACCATATTCAGAAAAATAACTCAAGCAAAAAGGACCTAGAGCTTGGCTCAAGTGGGAGAGTGTCTGCTTAGCAAGTACAAAGCCCTGAGTTCAAATCCCAGTTCCACAAAAAAAACCCCACATATTGTGTATGATTCTATTTTTATCAAATGTCCAGAATAGGCAAGTCCATTAACAAGAAATAGATAATAGTGGCTGTCTAGGGCTGGAAGGGTGGGGGGAAATGGAAGTGACTGCTAAATGGTACAGCTTTTTTTTTTTCCCCTGAGCTTCTTTTGGAGGTGGTAGAAATGTTTGAACTTGGATCGTGGTGAATTGTATAGTATTTAAATTATATCTCAATGAAACTGTTACCAAAAAAATTATTATTGATAATTTTCTTTTCCTTCTCTTATCTTTTCTACTCCTCCTCCTTCCTCCTTCTTTTTTCCCTCTGTATGTTGAGGATCAAACCCAGTACCTCACACTAGTGAGGCAAGCACTCTACCACTGAGTCATATCCCCAAACCCTATTGCTATTTTTATTTTTTGGATTAAGAAATACATTTATAAAGATTTTGAAAGTGGCAAAAACTGGAGATCTAAGGTCAGAAAATTATCTGGACCATGCTTTCACTGTACTGCCTTAATAGTTGTAAAAATACTATGCTGCTCCAATAAGAGCCATGTGTTCTATTAGGAGGTATTTACATAAAAATGCAAAATAAATACCAGACAATACTTAGGGAGAGCTCAGGCAAGTTTTTTTCTGAAGGTATTTTATTATAAAGAAAATAAAATTTAAGTTAAACCTCATGGGGGGAGGTGGCCCAAACAACATATACACATGTGAGTAAATGTAAAAACAATTAAAAAAGAATAAATAAATAAATAAATAAAACAATTATTAAAAAAAAAAACTTCATAGACCCAAGCATTAATATTTTGCATTTCCAACAAAGTCTTGTGATGCTTCAGGAGTCTAGAAAACCACATGCCATTGCTAAATTGAATCTGAAAGTTGAACATGGTGGCTTGTGCCTGTAGCCTCTACTACTCCAACAGGGTGAGATAGGAGGATCACTTGAACCTAGATGTTCAGAGCCAGCCTGGGCAAACAGCAAAACCCCGCCTTGGGCCTGGAGGCATGGCTGAAGCAGTAGAGCACCTGCCTTGCAAGCATAAATCCCTGAGTTCAAATCCCAACCTCACCAACCTGCCTCACACAAAAAAATTAAAATTTGGTTGAAAAAGCTGCCTCTAGCCAGGTGCCAGTGGCTCACACCTGTAATCCTAGCTACTAAGGAGGCAGAGATCAGGAGGATCACAGTTCAAAGCCAGCCCAGGTAGATAGTTCACAAGACCCTATCTTGGAAAAAAAACCCATCACAAAAAGAGGGCTGGTGGACTGGTTCAAGGTGGAGGCTCTGAATTCAAACCCCAGTCCCAGGAAAAAAAAAAAAGTGCATCTGCTCTCTATGTATTTAAATGATGGAAAATTTGAAAAGTGTAAGTTGATTAGTACCTCTTCAAATTAGAAGTTTTATCTTTATTTCTTTTACTTTTTCTCATTCACTTGTCTTTTCAATTATAAGATTACAAGTTTGTTCATTTCCTACATTGTGCCATATACTGTGTTAAACACTGGAAGTTCTAGGATGAGTAAGAGAAACCCTTGTGAACAGTGTGGCTTAGGAAGTAGAAACATGAGTATTGCTAGACAATGTACATAGAGCATAATACAAGGAAAAGCCCACATGGCTTGGAAAAGTCAAAACAAGGCTTCCACTAGGAAATGTGCCTTAAATGATTAGTGGAGCTCACTTTTTTTCTTTTTTCTCTTTTGGTTTTTTGAGACATAGTCACACTATGTAACACACAGGCTGGCCTCAAACTCAATCCTCCTGCTCACAGTGCCCTTTGAGAGAGAGACAGAGAGAGAAAATAAAGAGAGCATTGTATACCTAAAGAAAGCAGCACTCAGGAAGAGTGAATGTTTTGCTTTCCAGGAAAATGGAATGTAGATTAATAGCTTGAGGATAGGATGTTTGATTGGGTGCAGTAAAAGAAAATATAAGGGGAGGCCTGGGCACAATTGGCTCACACCTGTGATCTAGCTACTCAGGAAGCAGAGTTCAGGAGAATCGAAGTTCAAAGGCAGCCCCAGGCAAATAGTTCATGAAACTGGGGGAAAAAAAAAACATCACAAGTGGCTCAAGCAGTGACAGCACCTGCCTAGCAAGTGTGAGGCCCTGAGTTCAAACCCTAGTGCCTCCAAAGAAAGGAAAAAAAATTTTAAGCAAAGCCTTTCTATTCTTGTCTTCTTCAACCTTTGAGGGGCACAAAATGAAAAGCTAGTCAGCCAGGGAGAAGATAGAACAAAGTAGGAGGCTTGGCAAAGAATTTTTAAACT